TAGATAAGCAACAAGGATTTACTGTATAGCACAGGGAATTATATTCAATATCTTATAACAACATATAATCAATATAATCAGAAAAAAAAAAAACCTGAATCACTATGCTGTACACCCGAAACACAATATTGTTTTATTTAAGAGTTCTTTAAAAATTAATTAATTTATTTATCTTTGGCTGCAGTGGGCCTGCCTTGCTGCGTGCGGGCTTTCTCTAGTTGCAGTGAGCGGGCTTCTCATTGCGGTGGCTTCTCTTGTTGCGGAGCACGGGCTCCAGGCTCGCGGGCTTCATTAGTTGTGGTTTGCAGGCTCTAGAGTGCAGGCTCAGTGTTGTGGCGCACGGGCTTAGTTGCTCCGCGGCACATGGGATCTTCCCAGGCCAGGGCTCGAACCCGTGTCCCCTGCACTGGCAGGCGGATTCTTAACCACTGTGCCACCAGGGAAGTCCCCTAACACAATATTGTAAATCAACCATACTTCAGTAAAAAATTAATGAATGTATGTACCTTCATGACTGATGAATATTGATGAATTACCCTCAGGATCCTGCCTCAGCATTGTATGGAAGTGCCTATGTCCCTACACTCTTGCCAAAGGTGTTTTTTTAAACATGTTGCCAGGCTATGGGGTGAAAACATTAGAGTCTTAAACGGAATTTACCCTATGGTGAGGGAGGTTCATTCTTTTTTAGTATCTTTAAAAAATACTGTGCTTTTTCTCTGCAGCACCTATTCACATTCTTTTTTCATTTTTATATTGAGATATTGGTCTTTTAAAAGTTGACTAGTAAGGTCTTTCATAAATTAGAGATTAATCTTTTTTATATGAATAGCAATTTATTTGCCTGTTAATTTTACTTCTAGTGTTTTGTCATGCAGAAATATTTGTTTTTAATGTAGTCAATGCATTTTTAATTTTATGCCTCCTGAGTTTTAAGTCATGGTTAGAAGCCTTCCTTACTTCCAGGCTATAAGAGAATTCTCCCATGCCTTCTAGTACTTCCTGGTTTCACTTTATAAGTTAAAATCTTTAACCCATTTGGAATTTATCCATATAAGCCACGAGGTGTAGATCCAGCTCTTCCCTCTGGATGCCTACCCAGCTGTCCCAACCTACATGTTGAACAGTCCATCTTTTTGTCACTGATTTGAGGTGTCTTTTTTTTTTTTTTATCATTTACTAAATTCTTGTAAGAATTTGGGTCTATTCCTGGATTATATAATATCTTTCACTGATCTTTCTACATATGAACTAGTACCCAGCATTTTAATTATTAAAGATTGTTTTAAAAACTGGAAGGGCTGGTTTTCCTTCATTGTTTTTCTTTTTCAGATTTTTCTTGGCCATTTAAGAAACTTTTTTCCTTGCAAACTTACATCAGCTTATCTAGCTACTGAAAAAATCCTGCTATTATTTTTATTTTAATCATGATAAACCTATTGCTCAACTTAGACAGACATAACATCTTAATAATGTAGGGAGAAGTAACATTTTTATAATGTTGAGTCATACTGTCAAGAACAATTTCTGTCTTCTGATTTGTTCAAGCTTTCTTTGTAGCTCAGGAATATATGAAAGTTTTCTTCCTGTGGCTCTTGTATATTTCTTGTTAAATTTATTTCTAGGCACTTTTGTGTTTTTGTAGGTGTTTTTTCTTGCTGTGGTAAAAAGAGTCCTTTCAAAAAACATATGAATGCTACAGATTTCAGTATATTTATCTTGTTCCCTGCCACCAAAGTTTCTTGTCATTTGTAGCTTTTCAGTTAATTTTCTTACCACCTACAGAGTAATAATTTTACCTCCTGCTTTCCAACTTCTAAACCTCTATTTTCTTTTTCTTTGCTTTTACTAAACAGTCTTAATACCAAAGAATCTGAATTGTTTTGAAAGAAAATGTTTTCTGAACTTTCATTTAGTGTTTCTGAAAAATAAGGTCAGATATATAGATTCAATGTCATTTTATATTCCCCCAAACATAATTTTCCCTAAGAGCTTAATTTTGTCAACATAGTTTGTTAAACATGGTGCTTTTTAGGCATTTAACTTCCCTGTACTGGTAAAGAATGACCCATCTTACCCCAGAGAGTGATGGAGAGAGGCATGTAAAGTGTGGGTCACCCCTAGTGACCAGCTAGCTGGTAGGTGGCTGACCAGGTAGCTGCCTATGGAGTACCTCATTAGCTGGGGCAGGGGGTGTGTCTCTTGGCTACAAACTGATTTCTTCCCCACTTCTGCTTTTCCTCTCCCCACCAGCAAAGCCACTCAGATATGCTGGAAGTAATTTGGAGAGCTGACTGTATATTTAGGTGACTCTCTATATGGAATTTATTCAAGCAAACAATGCAGTGACATGCACAGGCACCAAGGTGAGAGGCTAGAATTTACTGGAGGGAAAAGCCCAAGCCTTTTACATTTTAAATATATGGGGGACTCAAAATACAAATATTACACTGGACACCAAAAGGAAAAAGATATGCTTGCTTGTTATCTTCTGCAGTATTTTTTCACTGCTCTTAGAAGCTCATTCCTAGGTACACAAATCTTCTTGATACTCAGTCATTGCTCTAAAAGGGTATGTTATACCTCACGTGACCAACCCAGAGAGAAGAAACAATTGGCTTAGTCAAAAAGAGGTATTTAGAAAATGTGCTTTGGCAGTATAGCCACACTTCTCATGTTCTCAAGCTTTTCACTCTTGGCACCGCTCTTCCATGATAAATATGATAATTTCCATCTTAAAACAACCACTTGCTTGTGTAGGAAAAGGAAATGGAGCCCTCGAGCCTATTTCTATCTCCCTAACTCCATCCAAGAAAAGCCAATCAGCAGTTTTGTCTTCACTTGAAAAGTTAGTGTTGGAAAGGTCTGCATTTAAGGGGTGAAAGGCGTAGGATCGGCTTGAGCGGTAGAAAAGATGGTGCCCCGAGGACACAGTGTACAGGACCATCCTCCCGGCGCCCCCGCCCCGCCCTCCCAAGCTTGGTGTGAGCCTAAGGAGGCCATTTGCCAGGCAAAATAAAACCAACGAAGTCTTGACTGTTTGTTTTGGGTTATAGGAACAAATATGGACGCTGTTTGGGTTTGAATGCCAGCTCTTCCACCTGTGCAACCTTAACCTACCTCTGCATCAGCTTTCTCAGCTATAAAATAGGGTTGAAACGATATCCACAACACAGAGGTTTTATGAGGTCCAAGTAAATTAATACATGTAAAGAGCTTAGAAAAGTACCTGGCACGTATCAGAGCTCAATAGATGTTTGTTGTTATCATCATCAATATCAAGATATAAGCCTCCCATGGAATTACAGTTACCATCCCATTTACAGTAAGAGGAGAGTCTATCCAACTCTGGTTAAATTACAGCCTTAAAAATTCTATTCTCTTTCAATTCCTTCTGCAGGTCCACTTACAAATAGTGTTCTTTAAAAAATCCTTCTCAAAAGACAAACACTGCACTACGTTACTTATATGTGGAATCTAAAATAGTTAATCTCACAGAGGCAGAGAACAGAATGGTAGTCACCACAGGGGAGGGAGGGAAAAGGGGAGATGTTGGTCAAAGGGCATAAAGTCAAAAAAACTTCTCTCTGCCTGCTAAATAATTTTCTTTCAAGTTACTACAACATTTTTGGTTTTTTTCCCCTGGATTTAGTTATGTTTCATTGAGACATGTTTATGACATCTAACAAAAATCAGAATTAAAAAAATAAGATATTATAGTAAAATGATATGGTATTCTCCTCTGGAAATAATTCTCCCCTCTTTCAATTACTTATAACACAAAGCATTTATTTTAGAAAAGAAGGGCACAAGGATGGTTAACTATATTCTTCCTCCTATTCTGTTAAAATCTCATTTTTTAGCACCTGCTATCTCAGCATTTTTCAAGCTGCATTTGCAGCCTGTTAGAAGATTATGAAATAGATTACTTTTTAAAAAAGTGAAATAGAATAGAAACTATTAGTGTGAATCATATGCAGTAAGGGGAAGTCTTGTTTTGTGAGACTTTTATTTCTGTTCCATATACAGAAGTATGCATGAAGCTATGTATACTGGGGTTGTAATGTACTACATGTCTTACTGTGAATCCCAGTCACGAGTTTGATGAACACCATAGCAGGGGGCTGGCATGATGCCTTGGTTCTACTTAAACTGTCATTATCTTGAAGGGATTGTGCACAGAGGTCTCATTCACTGTAAACATATGTACAATTTTCAAAAGAATGGTAATGCAAAATAAACCCAAGTCCTCCTTCAGTACATCTCAGCATCCTGATGGTGGCAATGAATATGAATTGCATTTTTCCCCTTAGTCTTCTCAATGGCTCACATGCGAGCCATTTACCGTGGCAGAGCAACTACTGTTTCACCATTACAACTTTAATTATAGGGGACCTCCTCTGTGCCAAGTGCTGCCCTAGTTGATTGGGATGAATAAGACGCTGAAAGCAGTTCACTGAGTGGTGTTCTTGAGAAGGACCTGTTTTCTATTCTCATTGAGAAGAAAGGTGTGGACTCATTTGGCCTTGCCCACCAAGGCCTGTTTCTTATGGAGAAATCTAGAGCTAAAAAAAAACTAACAATGTCTGGTTGCAATAAAAAAGCAAAAGTAAATAATTTCTACTTTGTAATAAACAGCTGGAGTAGAAAAAACACACCAACTACTTTAAAAAAATCATTCATTTGGTAATAATTCATATAGTACATTTTGCTAGCTCCAAGGTTGTCATTTGAAGACTACGTGTATTTTTACTGTTTGTTGAGTTTTCTCCTTATTTAGCCTGGTTTCTAATCCATTGTCCTAAGCCAATATGTATATTGCAAATAGCCCCTCCTTGTTTATCCCTGGCCTTCTGTAAACCATAAGCTCCCTGCAGGCAGGGGCTCTACTGGATATCTCCTTTGGGCTGCTTTCTGTGATACCCAGAAGAGTAACAGCCTCTCACCAAGTACCCAATAACTTTTGTTAATGGATAAGGAAAACGTATAGAAGCTTTTACCTTGGAGGAACTGGTAGCCTGGGGCACAGCGAGTCTGCATTTGGATTCTGGATGTAGTTGAAGGAATTCAAACTATAAACACACAGGAAGGACCCTGGAAGCAGAAGACACACAGACTGTACCACCTTCCTACGTTGTGCTTATCTTTCTAGGGGAGCCAGTAAGGAAACCATAGTCATTTTACCAAACTGGGAAAAAAAAACAGAATAAATCACTCAGGTTTAGAAAACAGGTCTCTGGGTGACCTAAGACAAAAAGAATCAGCATCAAAACTGAGACTGAGCTAGGTCCTCTCTTTTTCTCTCTCCAAAATGCCAAATTCAAAACTGAAAGTTATACGATAGGTACTAAAACGATAGGAAGATGAATTATTATATAGGCTTCATATTTTTAACCCAGGCTTGCAAACAGTTTTTAAAACTCTGGCACCCCATTTCACAAGCAGATGAAATTTGCAGTGGGTTGTCTCGAATTTCTTTTTACTTTCCTTTGCTTGTTTAACGCTTAAAATATAAATCTGAAAAGCAGGCTCAGAGCAAGTTACACAAATGCTTTTGGAACAGCTTAAGGCTATCCCACTGGTCAGTGAAACTATCCATGGCCCGAACATCTTAATGAAAGAACATACCTGTCGGCAATTCAACCCAAAGCCTGTGGGTGCCTCTCTAGGACTGGATGTGCCAAGCGCACAGAGCTCTCTGACCTCCATCTGACCTCGCCTTTGGGCCCTAAATGTCTGCTGTCTCCTCCCCGCTCTCTACGGCAGACCAGTCCCTGGCAGTTAGCAGAGGACAGCTAGGGTTTCAGATGAATTCCAGATAAACCTGAATGAAACTGAACAGCTCAGGAGGAAACGTTTATGGCCCTTTCTACACAAGGAGGGGCACCCACAGGAAGGACAATTTCCAGTTTTGCAGGGAAAGCCAGGGCAGGGCAAGTTATCTAGGTCTGCACAGGTTACCCTGCTGTGGTCCCCAGCCTCAGAAGGAAGAGTGACCCCATCCCTCGGTACCTACCAGTAGTGTTTGCAAAGAGCTGGACCTCTTCCAGGGTATTAAGCTGCTCTTCAGGACAGCTGGACACACAGAGAATGGTGGAACTGAACCTCACATCCTTGACTTCCAGGTTGCAGGAATTCATGAAAAACACGTGTCTAGGAGACAAATGAAACAGGAGAAGAATGTCGTAGAGCATTTCCTGTCATTGAGTTTGATTGTGGGACTTAAAAATATCCACACGCTATCAAATGTGGGAATAATTAAGGCAAATTTTCATCATCAAATACTTCCACGTAATTTAACATGTATTATGCCTACCTGGGTTCATCTATGGAGTTGTGCAGCTTGGCAACCATATTCAAATGTTAACAAAACTTCCCTTTTCCAGATTCAGCATTTTCTGGGATGTTGATTAACACTAGGGAGTTCTCCGAACAAGTCACTGAGGAAGGGAAAGGACTGATTAAACTGTCCCTGGTTTGCTAGGTGAGGCCAGTGCATGAACTACTCATGAAGTCCACAGAAAGCATATTTGCACCCAAGAGTGTTCAATTATACCTCAGAGAATAGCTGAACCCAGGGAAGTGAGAAGTGGAGAGGAGGAGACCGAGGCTGTGAATTAAAGGCTTACCCCTCCCCCTGCCTCCCAGTTTGAGACAGGAAACTCATGAGACCCTTCCTGCTGCAGCCACTGGGCACAAGAACAAAACTGGTTGTTGACATTAACAGGGTCACATGCTGGTTGGCAGTGGCAGCTCTCAGGCCCATGCCCTACACTTAACCCGGTTGCTGAGATCAGAGGAATGTCAGACCAAGAGCCCTGTAGGCAGTCCTCCAGGGGAGGGACTGGAGAAGGGGTGCCAGAAGCTTCTTTTTCCTCCAACTGGGGTTGGGAGAACGGTGGGTGGTGTAACAGGAGATGGGAGAAGAGATTTCCTTGGTGTATGATAAATACGTACTTTATTCTACTTATTAATTTTAAAAAATTGTAGTAAAACACACACAAAATTTTACCATCTTAAAGCTTTTATGTGTGCAGTGGCATTAAGAACATTCACATTGCTGTGTGGCAATCACTACCACCCAGAACTCTTTTCATTTTGCAAAACTGAAACTCTGCACCCATTTAATAATAATTCATCACTCCCAAACCCTGGCAACCACCATTCTACTTTCTGTCTCTATGAATGTGATTACTCTAGATATCTCATATAAGTGGAATCATAAAATATCTTTTTGTGACTGACTTATTTCACTTAGCATAATATCCTCAAGATTCATCTATGTTGTTACATGTGTCACAATTGCTTTCCTTTATAAGGCTGAACAATATCCCAGTATATATATATATATATATATATATATATATATATATATATACACATTTTGTTCATTTATTCACCTGCTGATGGACACTTGGTTGCTTCTACCTTTGGGCTATTGAGAATAATAAAATAGGTACTTTTCATTTCAAAGAGGATGACTATTTCCCAGCATTGCATTATGAATACAATGTCTAAACAGGAGCACAGGTGCATCTGGGGAGCCCCTTCCTCTCCTGTCTTCTTTGTGAGTGACACCCACAAGTGCAGGGAGAAATGCCCCTCAGGCAGTCCATGTTCAGCAGTGCAAAGCCCCCCTCCTCAAGAGCAAATTCAGGGGTAGAGGAGGCCTGGTCGGAGATTTGTATTTGATGATTCCAAACTTATACTCAGGACCTATCTAGACCTTTAAGATTTCTTTCCTAGGAGCTGCTTTTGATTATCAAGTCTTGAAATTATCACAAGGCTGTATCCATCTTAGAAAATCATGGCCAGGGATTTCTCTCCCCTCAGGGATTCCTGTCTCTTCTCTCCCCTTTTTGTTTCTGTGTTGGAGTTGGTGGGAGAAAAGTGAGACACCAAAGCTTAGAGTGCCATAGCTGAGAGTGTAGGGTGGGGAGGGAGTGGGACACAGGTCCCCAGCATTCCCAGGTGGGATTCAGGTATTTCCACACAGAAACAATACTGTGGATGGTGTATAATTAGTAACATGATTGTGATACATTATGGATAATAATAGTGACAACTAACATTTATTAAGCCTTAGCTCATGCAGTGTCTCAGTGGATCCTTAAAACAATCTTGTGAGGTGGGTCTAATAACCAGTTTAAAAAGATGAAAACTCAGCTCAGAGAGGTTAAGTACTCTGCCCAATTTCAATTTAGGGCTGGCTGACTCTAAAACCTGTGTCCTTACTACCACACACGTCTCCCTCTCATGAGTTGGGCGGACAGAGTTTTGAGTGGGAAAACAGTTTCCAGGCTCAAACGACTAATTTATACAAAGTTTTGAAATCTAGCCCCTCTGTAGGTTGGGGACTTACTTGAAAACTTACTTTTTTAGGGTCATGTCCTGCCCCGAAAGAGGGGCCCCTTCTACTGGGGAGTTCTTCTTGCCACACACGTTGCCAAAGCTGTCGTAGCCGAAGAGGAGTCTTCCTGTGGCCCCAGCCGTCACTGAGTAGCCCATGATGAACACCTGGCAAAACCCAAGTAGCCGCCATGAGAGCCTGGCCAAGGGCTGGAAACCGGTCCCCCACATCCTTGGATGTTGATATAAAATGGAACCGGGTGGAAACGAATCTCCCCAGCATCACTGCACTTTCCTCCTTCATCAGTAATACCAGCGAATCAGAGCAGTTAGCGCGCTGCTCCTCTAGTACGTGCTTTACCAGGTTAGGGAGGGAGAACATTCTAAAACACTGAAGCAGATTCCTCTCTATTTTCTCACCAGTTTGTGCTTCTCACCTTCTTCTCCAAGAGTCTGTCATTTTTTTCTTCTTGGCCTATGTTCACCAGGACAATTCAATTTTTTTCCACTTGAGGTTCTTGTTTTATCTAAGGTCATAAGCAAGGCTATGCTGCCTTCCCTGAGGTTCTATCCATCCGTCCAAACCTTCCTTCCTTCCACCTCCCTCAACTTTTCTTTTTGTCTTGTATTTAGGGGATTCTAACTCTCTGTCCATAACAAGTGAGAAAATGGTGTTTTGGAGTAAGTCCTTAAAAATACACAAGATAGGGCTTCCCTGGTGGCACAGTGGTTGAGAGTCCGCCTGCCGATGCAGGGGACAGGGGTTCGTGCCCCGGTCCGGGAAGATCCCACATGCCGCGGAGCTGCTGGGCCCATGCGCCATGGCCGCTGAGCCTGCGCGTCCGGAGCCTGTGCTCCGCAACGGGAGAGGCCACAACAGTGAGAGGCCCCTGTACCACAGAAAAAAAAAAACAAAAAAACACAAGATAAAGAATCTCAGGAATTCTGCTGGACAAGAACATCATGAAATCTGTAGTCACTTTTGTCCAATTCCGGAATGAATGTGGACTATTTAAAATATTCAGCTCAAACGACTGTTCCCTTAATATGCATTGACGGGCCCTCTACTCGGATTGAGTCTGTATCTTCCCATAACATAAGCTTAGTGTTGTAAGTTTCTCAATCTACAATGCGTAGAATACCATTTAATACTTGGAATCTATAGCACTGGTACCATATGTTCCAAAGGTACATTGTCCCAAAGTCAAATATGTTTCAGATACTCTACATTCATTACTAATTTAGGAATCAAAATAACAGTCTTAAAGTGCCCAGTGTGTGCTAGAGACTGTTGCTGAGGGACATAGAAACAAACACAACCGAGCCCCTGCCCCCGAGGAATTCGGCCTAGAAGACAGGCAGGGCTCAGGGCTTATAAACAGCTGGCTTCCTGGGGAAGGAGGCGCTCTGTCCCTCCTACTCTGCCAGCACCTCCTCAGTCTTGAGGTCAAACTGCAGGACGAGTGGGTCACCCCTGCCGGCGGACAGACCCCTTACCCTTTACTCTGAGGCTGTGGTTCTGGGTGTGACCGTGGGCCCATGTGGCTGACGTGATGGGCTGACCCAGCCCCTGGGTGTTCCCTTCCTGCCCTTCCTTCTGGAGTGTGGTCAGATCCTGATTGGTTTTGGACTTAGAGGGAGGAAAGGAGTCCTGGGCTTTTGCCCGGCTCACCAGAGATCTAATAATGAAGTGATATTTCCCATTTATCAGCATTCTTTATGTTAATGTCCCCCTTGGGAAGCTTGTGGGGAGGAGTAGAAGGGTTTTTTTTGGGGGGGTTTCTGGGGGGAACAGATTTGGGTAATCCTGAGTCCCTGTCATACTACTACTACTTTAAATCATCAAAAGTTTTTTCCAATTTCAAACACACAATTGCAATTCCAAAGAGTAGGCGTGTATAGCAGTTATAGTGGGTTATCAAGGAGGTCACTGTCAACTGTACTGGGGGAGATCTGGAAAAAGCAGTCTTGAAAGATGAGTAAGAAAAGGCAAGGTGGGAGAGGACACTGGAGAGGTAGTAGAGGCAGAGATGGTCCAGGATTTGAGCCGTTCTGTTCTGTGTCTTACGCACATATAAAGAAAGGCTGGCACTCTTTCTGTTTATAATAGACTGTCCCTGCTTGTAATTCTGGCCCCTCACCCCAAACCTCCTTCGTCTAGCCCTAACTCAGGGTAGCACCATCAATAATCCCATCCCGCATGTGCCTTGTCACTGGTCAGGATGTCACAAGACCGACCAGAAAGCCGAACAGCAGAGAGGCAGAAAAAACACTCCTTGCTATCTTGGCTGTGGTTAAAAAAATGTTGCAAAGATACTAAAAGCTAGTCACCTAAGGAAGAACTATCATTATTCAAATTTAATATAGTAAAGAGAATGTGGGCATTTCAGATTTATTTTGCAAAGAACATATAAATTTAAAGCAGCTTCTAGCTCTGTACCACCTCTCAGATGGTTCTTAATTCTTCAGGCTGTGATGGGCCATCTACAAATCCTCTCCTCAGAAAGCCGTTGGTTGAAGGTTTGGTAGTGCTGCACTAGGTTTGAATTGTAGAGGGGCCAGGGAAGATCATTAACAGCCCAGGTTCAAGGCTGCCAGGTACTGGCAGAACAGCTGCTCCCTGCATTTATACAATAGCAGATCCAGAGAGAAATACCAGCATCTGTGGGCAAGTTTAGGTGGAGGTGTTGTAGGTACAGTTTCTCGCAGCTCCTAGAGAAGAGCTCCAAGGGTCATAATAGAAGCAACACAGAACATTCAATTATGCCTTTAAGGACCAACCTTCCATTGTGCCTGTTACCCATCTGCCTGTTAGAAACCAGTCGGTAAGTCAACAACTGAATAAATGCCTTTCTTACTTGGAAAGAAGAACAAATATATTTTAGGGTTTATTCAAATTTGTTTCCTTTCAACAGAGGTAATTATGTGATAGCTACTGTCCAGCTTTATAGATTGATCATTTACCATCCAGCAAATAGCACGGCTCAGTCTGGAATGGATGCTTTCATGAACATACTCTTTGAAGAAGTTGAGTGAGCTTTTTTCTGCTGTTAACTACAACTCTAAAATAAGTACAAAGGCTACAAGATTCAGCTTCCAAGAGACCCTCCCAGGACAAAAATGGCACAGCATGAGGTCTACCATCAATGAGGCACACCTGGAAACTAGAGTAGGAAGGGGGAATCCCATTACCTATCAAACTAGAGGGTTTATAGCAAAGGCTTGTTTACCTATTAGCTGCTAAACACAACATATGGAGAGGGCATTACACTCAGCTAAAGTAAGAAGAATTTATTGATATTTCTAGGCTTACACTGGATTTCCCTTTGTTAGAGGAACATTTTATCAATATTTGGGGGGCTGAGATGAGATGGTAAAAGAACTTCCCCTCAGTGAGCTGGGATAACAAGAGGCCACATATTGGCCTATTAAATAACAATGCCACTTTAAACGGTGGTTCTCATTTCCTAATGGAGTCTCGCATTAGAACGTCACTGACAGCAATAAGCCAGCCTCTCCAATTTACGGAGCCTAGGAGGTTGAGACACCTGACAGGAATTTCGGAGAACTGCTGTTTACCCTGCGGTACTGGCAGATAGATCGCTCCCTGAAGCACAAACTTTAACCTCGTACCACCCGGAGCCTTCTCCCCAGGAAAGGCCCTGGGGACGCTATTTACATTTGGGGCACAGCTATCTCAGGACACACACACATACTCTGGTCTCTTCCCTGCCAGGCGCTCACACTTACCAAACCAGCCCAAAAGAGAAAGAACAGGAACAACCAGGCCTTATCTGTGCATTTCCTATAAATCTGAGGTCGCCACTGTCTTTGCCTGGGGGTTGTCTCCGTGGAAACCTTCCAGAAAAAGAAGGAAGAGTATTGAGGAAAAGAGGATAATCATACAGGTCTCAACCTGGAAAATGAATCGAAACTTACTTGAAGACTGCTCAGAATAATCCATTCCTTTTTTTTTTTTTTAAACGTGGCCGCCTTAAGCTCTCATGGAGCCTTTGAAACACCTGTCCTGTGCAGAGCGGATGTTAAGGTCCCAGTCGCCGAGTCCTTACCTGGAGGAGCCCCTAGAGGCGACCCCAAGTTGGTGCTGGGCGGCCAGCCTCTCCCACGCCTCCGCCCCAGGACTGGGGTCCGAGGTCCTCCCTGCCAGGTGCCCCCAGGACGCGGCGGCGCCGGGGGGAGGGGGGGGCTGTGGGTATTGATCCGAGGGGATCCTGGGAGGCGGAAGCGTCCGGGCGGGCAGGTGCTTGGAGGGGCCCGAGCCTTCCCCCGCGGTCCCTCCCCCGGGGCCAGGTGCAGGCCTTACCAGGTGCTCGGCGCGGAGGCACTGCATCCTGCGCTCCGCCCCAGGGGCCGCGCACTGGGAGCCCACGCAGAGCCCACGGCGGGCCGGCACGGGGCCCGGCAGTCAAGCGGGGGGAAGGGGCGCAGCGCCGCCCCGCGGCCGCCTTCGAGCGCCACGGACTTCGCCCCTGGCGCTGCCCCGAGGGCCCCCCGGCCCCCGTGAGCACCCGGGCCGCCCGCCTCAACCTCCGCGCGGTGGGGCGCCCGGGAAGCCCGTGTCGCCCGCTGAAGCGCGAGGCCCCCGCTGGCCCCGCCACGACCCTGGGCGCGTCCTCTCTGGGGCGTAATGAGCCGGCGGCCACCGCAGTGAGCAGGAAGCCGAAAGTCTCAACAAACCCTTCCAGAGGGCGGGCCTGGGTGGGGTGCTGAATTACATCTACATAGCTAACAGGTGAGTGCCCTTACCCTGCCCCTGATGCTGTTTTAACTGCTTTAAGACATTATTAAACAGTCAAAAAGAGAGAAACTACCGTTATCCCCAGTCTACATATGAGGGAAACTGAGGCACGTACAGCAGCCATGTAACTTGCTCAGGGACACACAGCGAGAAAACCGTAGAGCTAGGAGTTGAACCCCGCTACGACACTCGAGGAGTTTTCGCGGTGGTCCTCTTTCCATCAGGATGGCGGCCAGGGGCTGCTGGCTCTCTCCCATAACGCGTGACCTGGAGAAACTAAAGCAGCTGGAGGAACCACGGGTTCCGGGAAGTAAAACAAGAATAAAAAACCTGGGGAGTCTGAGGACTGCCGTAATCTGTGAGCATGTGGGCAGTGGGTGGCGGGAGGAGAGGCCAAAAAGTTAGTTGGGATGAAGGAATTTCAGGTTCTGTTCTCACCTCTCTGTCCCAATAATGGGACAATCATTGTCAGGCTGTTTACAGTTGAAATGATAGCCACCGCAGAAGCCACTGGTGGAGGAGTCCTTCGGGTAATAGCTGACCGGTGCAAAAGTGCTATCGGGGTGAGACAGTACAACAAGTGAAAATGGGCCGCCTACCCCCCCTTTCGCTCTCTACTCCTCCCATCCACACCCCCACGGCTGCTAGGTTACTGTTTCTTTTAAGCACTGCTTCTCCCTGAGGGGAGAAGCCTGGCTGAGGAATGATCTGACGTAGTGTCAGAGAGTGGGATGGACAGACGGTGGTTCTCTGGTGCCTGAGACTTAAGTTCTGGACTCATCACCGCCCTCCCACCCCTAACTCACTGGGCCTCTGGATGCATAATTATCAGAGTAGCTGAAACTCCAAGCAAACACGGATCCACAGGCCAAATAACTAGACCTGTGAGGAGTACAACTGCTATAAAACAGCCACAATTGAACAGTGCGTACCACCTGAAACTGAATTGTTAGAACTGATGGACCAGGGTTTTTAAATAAGTGTGATAAATCTATTCAAGAAGGTGAGGAATGACAATAGCAATATGAATCAGGAAAAAAAAAATCATAAAACTAAAATGAACAGAAACATTAAACATGAAAAATATGATAACTGGAATGAATATTCATTGATGCTATTCATTAATAACATGGGATAAATAGTAGAATAGATGCAGCTGAAGAGGAATCAGTGCTTGGAAAGAGTACTGTCAGCAGCTCTCCAGAAGCAACAGGAACAGGTTAAAACAAATAAGGCAGCTTATTTTACAATTTTCTAATTAATATCAAGAATAGAACTAGAACAGAAAGGGAGTGATATAAAAATGGAGAGGAGGAAATATTTGAAGACACTGTGGAGATAAATTTCAAGGTTGAAAGAAAGACATAAACCTCAGATTGAAAGGGCAAGTCTCAAGCCAAATATCTTTATTGTTTTAGGAATTTCTTAAAAATCCATTCATTGGAGCAATAGACTGACTACCCAACTAATTCTCATCAGAATTACAGCTTCTCCTCAGAACCATAGATCAGTCAACTGGGTGATCCCATGACTGTGCCCTTCAAGGCTCAGTTCAAACCTGCCCCTTGCTGTGACCATCAATCCTCAACTGTTGAATGACAAACTTGCCCAATCTAATCAGCCTCCTTGCATTGAAAGACCCATCTTATACCAGACCCTAAAAATCTTATAAATATCCTATTCTTGAAACACATCAAATATATTTATGTTCATGAATTTACAGTAATACCAAATAGAAATAAAGCCGCATTGACTGCCCTTAGAAGGTTCTAGGGGACAAACTTATTATTTCAAAAACTGGTAAATAAAGGGAAAGAATCAAGCACATATTCTGTCTCTTCTACCTGAACCATACATCAGGGTAATCACATAACTGATAAAGGAGGCTTCTCTTTATAGAAGTATTCTAGCTTCTAAGTGCAGAAGGAATGATAGAATTTAGGACCTCACAGTTTTCCAAACATCACAAAACAATGTTTGGAAGGCTGACAATCAGACATCAGCCTCCTCTCAGTGAAGAACACACTGTCACCTGTGAAAGAGTTGTGCCAGAAAAGTTCACATGAATCTGACTATCGATTTATAAGAAATATAGGAAATAGAGGAAACAAGTCAAATGACACCACAGGGGTGCCATCAGCAAAACCAAGAATGGGAACATCTTCACACACAGGACCTAGGGTTTTAACATCAACAACAAAAACAACAGTAGCAACAGCAGCAAAAAGATTATAAGAAAAAAGACAGGAAGGGGAAACCTGTAAATTAAAAGAGACTTGGGGGATACTTTAACTAATGACGATGTATGGCCATTGTTTAGATCCAGATTAAACCAACTGGAAAAATAAAAGGAAAGAAGACCATTCAGAGGACCGTCTGGGAAATGTGAATCCCGATTGGATATTTGATAACTTTAAGTAACTTCTATTAAGGAATTTGGGGATCTGATGATGTCATTGGGGTCAAGTTTAAAAAGGAAAGTCTTTATCTCTTAGATTTACATACTGAAACTTTTACAAGATGATACAATATCTGAGATTTGCTTTTAAAAATCCAGGGCAAAGGGCAATGGGTGGAGGTGTAGGGGAAACAAGATGGACCATCAATTGATACTTGCTGAAGTTGGGAGCAGTATACATGGGGGTCCATTAAATTTTTTTTCTACTTTTATATGTTACACACACACACACACACACACACACACACACAGAAAATAACAACGCGTGCCAACTCCTAGTCTCCACATAGGAAGCTTCTAACACTGTATGCATGTACCTGTTATTGAACATACTTGCCTTCTCTACTTTTATACTCCCTACTCCCTCAACCTGAGCCCATCCGTTCCTCAGGAGCAGCACTCCCTGCTGGACCTTAGGGTGGTTGTGTCTGACTATTAGCATAGCCAAGGTGCCAGCTCTCATGGTTTCCCTCCCCCTCTGTCTCCTCTCCAACCCCATCTGGGCCCCCAGTGCTTCTGGAGCACTTTGGTCGTAACATTTTCTCCTCTTCCACGTGAATCTCTTCATCCCCTCCCTCACGCTGCCTCTTTTGCCAATCTATCTCTAGGTTTCTCATGATTCTCACACTTGTCTTTCCTGATTTTCTAATCCAACGCTTTGGCACCTTCCTTAACTTCTAGCCAAAGATCCTGGACCCTTGCTCCTGTCCCAGACCAGCCAGGGATGCAGCTAGAACCACTCAAGTTGCCTGCTTTGCTTTCAAGTGTCTGACCATTACCCTTTGGGTCAGGTACTCCAGGTGCAGATTAAGGCTTGAGCTAAGCTTCAGCTGGTGTGTCTTATTGATGCTGTGCTTTGGGGCCAGCACCTGGGAAAGGTCTGGTTTCCCAGCCTTCTTTCCATGTTTCTCAAGCTTCCTTCCCTTCCTCACCAGCTCCCGTGGCTGAGTTCCCAGCCTGCTTTGAACCATAGCCTGACACCCTATGGTTAAAATACCGTGATGTTGGACTGGGATAAAGCAATTTCCCTTCCAGGAATTACGGCTCACCTTAGAGAGGCAATTAGTAGAGGCTCCAGAGGGGCCAGGACCATCAACCCAGGCCTGCGGGATCTTTCATCATTCTTGCCTTTCCTGTCAGTTGTGAAGACTCATCCCTCAGATTGGAAGCCAGAAGTAAGATGGATACAAGGGGTCTTGGGTTTGAACTTTGGTCTTTGTAGTTGGTCCAGGAATGGTTCAAGATGCGCTTGACAGATAAGGGGGCTGCAAGGGGCCATTTGGCTATGAGATAGGGAAGGGGGTGGGAGAAGGGAGCCACGAAAGGTATGTGTGTAAAGGAGTCTCAGCCCTTTGGAGCTGGGTTGAGGTAATTTCAGGATGAAAGAGTTGGAGGCTCAGAAAAGTCTTTCTTTTCTCCTTTAAATCTTTGGACAGAAATCTGGTCTCTGGGACCTTGATTCTTTTTAGCCCATCTCTGTTCAGCAAGGATTGACTAAGCATTTACTTTGTACCAGGACTTGGCCAACCCTAGGGGCACAAACACCAAGCAGGAAGATTTGGCCCTTCAAGGTCACGCTTACTTGGGGGTTGGTGATGAGATATGAGACACGTGATGAGGGTTCTTTGCCCAGCGTGGTGTTTCCTGAAGCCTTCCTGGGAAAGGCTGCCTGAGTGCAGGGGCAAAGGATGAGTAAGAGATGGCGAGGCACAGAAAGGTAGGGAGGGCATTCCAGGCAGGGGACACAGCAGGGATAGAGGCCTGGCTGCGTGGAACCACACAGAGAACCCCAAGCAGTGTAGCGTGATTGGAGGAGTGTGAAGTGAGGGAAGGAGGGTGTGGTGAGTCTAACAGCAGAGCGTGTCAGGCCCGGCCTGCCACACCAAGGAGCTGCTTGTCCTGTGGTTATGTCTTTCCCGTTCACCCTCACTTTTTAGGACAGCTTTTAGAGAATGCTGCCCTGCCCTGGTTGTGCTCAGAGGACTTGAAGGAGGGGGGCTTGTGTTATCCTTGTACCTCAGCAGGGCCGGAAGCAAGAGTGACAACCTTGGGGCTGGGCTTGGTGAGGGCAGCAATAATCAAGTGAGAAAACTCTCATGGGGAAGTGAGACAGTACAGCCTCCAGGCTCCCAACGAAATGTGGTCCTTGGAACACAGCTGCCCTCAAGCCCGAAGGGCTTTTCAGTTTGGTTATTTTTTTTTTATTACAAAATGTTCTATATATTACATTACATTGTGTTAATGTATTCCTTTGTATGTATCAAGTGTTGAATAGCATTGTATGTAACATATATATGTTAC